GTAGTAGTAGAAGAAGAAGAAGAAAGTGGTAGTAGTAGTAGTCGTCGTCGTCGTAGTCGTCGTCGTAGTACCGCTACCGCCATTCTTCTTCTACTACTACTACTACTACTACTACTACTCATCACTCGACTCGTGAGTGCTCACTACTCCTTCTCCTTCTCCTTCTCCTTCTCCTTCTCCTTCTCCTTCTCCTCCTCCTCCTCCTCCTACTCCTACTCTACCGCTACTCCTACCACTACTTCTGCTGCTGCTACTACTACTGCTACTGCTATTGCTACTGCTACAGCTGCAGCTACTCCTTCCTCCTCCTCATCCTCCTCCACCTACACTTACGCCTGCGCCTACTCCTACTCCTGCTCTGCTACTGCTACTGCTGCTGCTACTGCTACTGCCACTACTGCTGCGGCTGCTGCTGCTGCTACTACCGCTACTACGATCCACTACTGCTACCACAGCTGCAAGTGCTAGTATTCGTGCTAAAGCAGCAGTAGTCGTCGTCGTTGTACTCGACGTAGTCATAGTCAGAATCGCGGCATCGGCATAAGCATTAATAAGTAATCAGGGTCTTCGCGAGCAAACCAGATGCAGTCGCTGGAGACGAGTAGCAGCACTGCCGTGTGCAGGGCACCGCACCTGGGCTTTGAGGACCTCCTGCTGGCGCTTGCGCTCCTCGAGGGCAGCATCGTTGCGGCCCTAACGTTTTAATATTTAGCCGGTACACAATCCTCTTCCCACCTGCCGCTGTATTTCGCGCCAGCTTTTCTTAATCCGAAGGCTCCACGTCAACTGGAGAAACTGAGAGGCCTCTTAGACTTTAACCATGCGTTACCGGATCTGACAGCCTCCGCCTCACGAAGAGCCTCCTGCCGCCTCCGAGCTGCCTGCAATGAGGATAAGTTCAGGAAGTTGTGATGTTTCGGCATGTTTCGGCTCCGCAGGCTGCATCTCGAATCTGCCTACCCCTATCTACCCCCCAAATGCAGTCATGCGGAGCCGTGCTCTTCAGCAATGTCGAACAACTTGCATACCCATAGTCCGTCATAGCCACAGCTTTCAGGAGGGCAGGCAGCGAACGGCAGAAAGCATCGCCCTAAGTGACCCTTGATTTCGCTGCACGGGAAGAGGCAGTGAAGCAAGGCAAGGTGGGGAAGGATAAGGGGAGCCAAATGGACAAGAAAAGCAGGAGGGTCGCAAAGGCACTTGGGCAGGTTTGATTCGGTTCGCTGATAATTCCACTGTCCGCAGCAAGAACGGTCAAATCATGTCAAGGGTCAATGTCGAATCACGACGGTCTGGTTCAAGATGCTGCATTGCAAAATATTGCAAACAGCATCTATCCTCCAGAAAAGCCAAATCTTGCGGAGCATTGTGTGCATGATGCTCATCGCGTTGAAACCAGTCGGCCAAGTATAACCAGGTTGTACTTGGCCGTTTCCGGGGCCAAGGTTGGACAGCTAACATTCATACGTAACAAGAAGCAAGAACGACAATTTGGGAAAGTGAAATTGAGCAAGCATGCAGCATTACAATGATGATCACCAAGACAAGGATAAGCGATCGCTTGAAGTACTTTCACAATGACCAACGTAGCTTCGCAAAGAGAACTAAGCTGGTGCGTGGAACAACCCGAAATCGATGTTTAGGCTTTTGCGTTGCTCAAACTGACACATGGATGCAGCAAGCGCTATGGACAGGACAGGCTGAGAGTCGGAACCTCCTGCCAGAAAATCAAGACAGCGAGGCTGTTGCGCAGAAAAACGTCGCTAAAACTGATGATAAGCCAAACCAGCTCTGACTCTCAATGTCCTGATACCCGACTGCTCCTCTGCATGATTAAATGCTTCATTCATGCCCCCACGCCCCTTTCATGCTGAAGTCCTACAGTCTGGAAGCTGCAAGCCGGAAAGCGGCTTCCGCGCCTCTTCTAGCTTCTTCTTCTCGGCCTCCGCTGCGGCTTTGAGGCGGTCCTGGCGAGGTACCCTGATGCCGCAGCGCCTTTTTCCACCGTGCCGCTTCGTCTGCCGGACCAGGAAGTATAAAGACGATGAATTGCAAGACTTCACGCAGAAACAGCAAGTATTCTGAAGATTCTGCTGGTCCAGCTGTTCAACATGTAGATTCAATGCAGATGCTCGGCTACAGACCTACACTGCACCCGAAATGTGGCCCAAGTTCTGCACGTCAGACAGAAATGAAACCCCGGAAACTCTTCCTCCATAAGCTTGCCGGACTTCCGCAGCTTGCGACCTTTGCGGTTCGACATTCAGTGTGCTGGCATGCTAGGCAGTATCTTTGCTGGCAAGTTGCAGACTTGATAAGTGCCACTTGACGACTCTCATTGACTCCCCTGGACATTACACGAGCAGGCACACATTTTCGATTCCATGGTCGGTCGAGGGCCGGTCAGGCCCAAGATACTCCGAAGCTTTCCCTCGGAACAAACGTAGACAAGGTTCCTGTGGGAGTACTACTTCCGTCATACTCGAGTAGCGAAAACTGATGTCTATCGCCAGTTGTTCCAGGTCCACAAGAAGCAGAACTACGTAGATTTCGAGGCGATCGGGAACTTTGCCCGAAAGAAGGTGCCCCACTGTAAGCACAGGACATATGTACAGATACTTTAAAGCATCTTTGCGTAAGCTTGGCATCCGAGACATGCGTTGCCCGGTCTTGCCAAACTTGTCATCGAGAAGTCTGCAGTTCCCATCCTGCACCGAACCGGCAAGAGTGCTGCGATTCAGTGGTGATACGTGCTTCACGTAGGCCCGAAGAAAATTTCGAATGATCATGTATGTTGATGCATTGCAGTCAATCACAGAGGCTGCCCTGACAGACTAACATCGTGTTTTCACACGCAACTCCGTGATACATCACCGGGCATGCTGAGCACAGCGCCTCGAGCCCGTGCTAGGCACCTGAGAAGAACCACCGCCGCCCTATCAAACACAATCCAGTAGATGAGCACTTCCACGGGCAAACCATGGCAAACGTGATCAAGCGTGATTTCAAAGAAGCAGGCATCTTCCAAGACATTACGAGAAATTTACGAAACAGTCGAACTACGTGCCCTGGACAAGCGCAAGGTCAAAGGCTGGTGGTGGCAGGAGGAGTACGGTAATGCGCAGATTGCAGTTCTGGCACCTGTGTGCTGCTCGAGTGTCACTCTCAAGCTATCTGCTTGATACAGATGCTTGTACAGCTCCACGCCAACACCTCGGAAAATGGAGAAAATGCAAAAGGCCTTAGCCACAGGGACATGCCATCGGTGTTCAATTCCTAGTGGTTTGTTCGATGCTGCCAGGATGCGATAGACTGTCGGACTGAGTTTGACAGACTCCGGGAAAGCAACATCCTGGGTAGCGGGTAGAGCAGAAGGTCTGTCGAGACGGCATTGCGGAATCTTACTCCTTCAGCTAGAAGTCCGTATCATTAATCCGCCACACAATGTCAGCATTGCGAGTGCCATCATTCAAATCCTCGGCTGGCAAACATCGCTAACGGCAAAGCACATGGCTGATAACGCTGCACCTGCCATCGCTGTAACACCGAGCTTCGAGGCATATTGAGATCACATCTCCCGGATGCAACCGCTGGACATTGTCAACTTGGTGCGAGCAGGCTGCACCTGCACAGGCGAAGTGAGCATATCCTTTGCACGGCCTCTTCGGCTTGAATCTGGAGTAAGGTGCAATCACTGCAAGCATCAAGTGCTAATATTATGCACCAACTGACCATGACCATGCCTTCTGCGTGCTTCACGAGGACCTTCGTTTGGTGGTGGTGGAAGTTGAGCAAGGACCCCGCCTCTCAGAAACAGGAATACGACTAAAACTTGCGAACGCTGCACCTCCGTCACATCTGCCCTCCCCTGCCTGATACGTTTCCAGGAAGTGGTGGTCTGTGTCCCAGAGGGCCCTGGACTTGTTCGTGGAAAGGTCCGTCTGCTCCCGCGAGATCACTCCGGCCACGATGTACCAGTCCTCCAGACCGAACCCTCACTATCCATCCATCTGTTTGAGACTCAGCCTGGGCACGCCGGCGATCACGTCAGTGCGCATGATCCCACTTAGGCCAAAACCCCCTCAGAACACTTGAAGAACCCTGCAAAGTCCGGAGCTGCCCCGATCGTGGGAACGGAGTCCACTCGGATGCGCCAGACGTGTCGGCCTCCCAGGAGATCTTCCTTTTCGTATCTTTTCCTTCAACTGCTGCTTTGCAAACCTCCAACCACCCCCTTCTGCCTCTTGAGGCCTCGCCGAGGCCCGTGGCTCGGCACCAGAGGCCTGAAACGCTTGAGGCTTGCCAAGAGCTCGAGCCCGAGTAGCGGTGCTCATTTGGAAGTTTGGGAAAACATATTCTAGCTTCTGCCGAGGGCCTCCGGCTCCGAAAACATGGTGAAAGGCTGAGCTCCGACCGTTTGAGAGTCAAAATGCTGGGAAAAATGCAGGGTGTCTGCTCAATTCAAGGTGGTTGCCCCTCAGCCTCGTCGCGACTGCTCCTTGCGCCAGCGAGCAGGATGCGCACTCAACAGTTGCACGCTTCGCATGCACGGGATCATGCCCTCAAGCATTGAAGCACGGCAGAGAACACCCGGACGTCAATGACCCCAAGACTCCACACACCAAGAGCCACTAAGACCTTTCCAGAGCTCCTGTGCCACCGTTGGCAGGCTCAGGGAAATACTCCCGTCCTGGGCGCATGTCAAGGCTGACTCCAAGTTGCCGGAAACCTTGATCGGCCCTACTGCTTGTCTGGACCCCGAATGGACTCCGTAGGCTCAGTCAAGGCTTAACACTGCCATGAAGAGGAGTCGCGATTCGGGCGACTTGTCTGCTACTGGCCAATTGATGTCGAATGATACTGCCAGCACTACTGTAAGTGGTCTATAGCGGAATCAGCGAAAAGAAAATCCGGCTGGCGCCCTTCTCTTCCTGCCGCCATGGGGCAGAATTCAGCTGACCATGACCTTCAAAGGATCCCCATTGCACCATCCGGTCCTCCAAAGCACCGGAGCAGGGCTTACATTGACGGGCTACTCCGTCTTTTAATATGCACCTTTCCTCCACCATTCGCTTGGCAACGGCTCTCATTACTAAGACATTGTCGTTGTCCAAAATGTCCTCGGGAAATGATTTTGTAATAGCAAAGCACTACAGTACATCATGGCAGGACCACATCTGCTGGACGGCGTCACCCAGCTTGTGAAGTCAAGAGGCCAGGTTCAAGTTAATGAGACGACTTCTCGGCAGGCATGCAACCTTAAGAGGCCACAGACTGATCTAGATCTTGCAACAGGCAATTCCTGGCGGTCGCGGATGCTACAGCACATCATTAGCACTTCATGCTTCCCGCCGCCAAGCCACCAGTTCTTCCAGAACGCGATTCCTTTGCTGGAAGCTACGGAATCCGATGAAACCCAATTAAATCTCTGGGACCTATCGCAATGCCAAAGCGTGCGATTCGGCTGCCCATCTCTCGGTCCCCCTGGCCGAGGCTCAAATTCATGATGCAAGCATCTCGCATCCATACTTCGATGGCGCCCGGCATCCCAGATGCATGCTCCTCAGCACGGATCCCCGATCTCAGCCACACATCCGAAGTCCAATTTTTGTCGAACCAAGGTTGCAAATTGTCCAAATTAGGCTTTAATAGCAGGGGTTTGACACAACAACAGCCTGCTTGGCAGTGTAGTGCGAAAGGCACGAAAACCAACGTGGATGTATCGGCACCTTGCTTCCTACACAGGACAGTACTGTAGCATCCACAGAACCATAAGCTGCGGTGATGCCAGGAATAACACGAAAAGGGCATTGGCCAGTTGGAGTAAGCCGAAAGCTTTGGTGTTGGTTTCAGAAACTGGCTCGCTCGAATCTGTTGATTCATGGAGAACGGATAAACACTCCTTCAACAAGTCCAGTCACTATGAGTGTGCTTGAGCAACTCTGGCAAGCAAGCACTCCACCCCCAAGCTGATCAGAAGCCTGGATGAATCTAGGCCCAGCCCCAACCCTAACCCTACCGGCAGACGGCGCACACTCAGGTAAACATTCTTGTGCTTGTTTCAACAAGCTCCAGCCGAAATGGCTAGGCTGGAACCATCAAACGCACATCGACGGCGGATACACAACCGCCTATCATTGAAGCTTATGAATGCAGATTAGCCCCCTGCCATCCCATGCCTGCACGGAAAATAGGCGTCCACACTGCCTGTGGACGACCGGTAACAGCCGCTTTGCTTGGCTGCCTCTCAGCGCCTCTACTACTTGTACAGACCATGCAGGTAGCCCCACACTTTCTCAAGAGTAGTCAAAGCTCACCAACCTGCCATTGCTAACATGGTTCCCTCCCCACGCCCACACCCACATATCAAAAGAATTCACAAAAGCGAACGAACATACGCTCACCCACAAGCTCACACACACACACATGCGAGAGAATCTGTACCCTGTTTCGGCCAACACCTGATCATAGCTTCACTGACAGAACTGCAGGCGGGGGCACCATAGCATCCAGCACCGTGTTCTGCAGCGTGGGACACTGCAACGTGTCTGCAATCTTCCTCAGCATCTTCGTCCAATGATGGAGCATATCGGCACATCACACAACCATGATCAACCATGGCTGGCTATAAGAGTGTCCAAAAACGGAATAGCGAAAAGGTGAAAGAGACCAGAGAGCGAGGGCGGCAGCGACATGTGACAGCGTTTGCTTGTTTCCAATTTTTTCCGCGAGATTGGACCCCTGGACCCCTGTTGCACTCATCTTGCGACCGATCAGCAGCAGCGGCATCACATGCTCGGGGCTCACCGCCCCAAGGTCCTCGCCATAGATGAAGTCGAGAGCGCGCTCCTTGGCCAAAGGGCGGATGCAAGCGGATACCGATCGAATGTTTCGGAGTCAAAGCCCGTCCTACTTGGTCCTACTTCACGCAACTTGGCAGCACAGCAAATCGCAGCTCCACTGCAGCTTGGCGACGACGTGATCTTTGCACGCTTCCGGACACAGCACTGCCAGGTCCGTGTCTCTGCCTTCGTACCTCCACTACACTCGTCGGCACATGGAAGCTTTCAGAAAACGAAACCACGCTCAAAGTCTGGCCCAATAAGCTAGCTTGTGGATTCCTGTGTCCTTGAAGTCTTTGCATTTGTGTGATGATGGAATGAGGATGCAAAGCTTCACAACGATGTCCAAGGTTCCTAAAGAAAGGGGTTTCCGCCCATATCCACCCCCTTCCCAAACGAGATGCCCTGCACAACTCGCACGCGCTGGGTTTCTGGCACACCCTCGCGGGAAGCACCAGCAAAGAAGTGCGCTGGCCTCTTCCTCATGACGTGATTGGCGGCAGGTCTTGGGCCCTGAAGGGTTTATGTACAGTTACAGCATCGCCCTATTGAGGACAGGACTGTGGCACATGCTTGGAGCTCGAGCGACAGCGCTCTTCAACAAATCGTTGGTCCAAAAAACAATGCAAATTCAAAGAACAAACTGAGGGCGCCCTGACCTCACATTTGCCTATTGCTTAGTATCCTGATGTTGTGAACCTCAGCATAATTTGGATGAAGAAGTCTTGACTTGCGCTTGGAACCCTTTCCGAGAACGGTTGCGAACACAATGCGGAGCGGGCGCATATCGTTGCGGCGAACGTTGTGCAGGAGTTGCAGACATGAACAGCTGTGCAGACTCGTGGTGATCCGCGACGCGCAACATGCCACAACTACCCACAATTGCCGTGACTTGCGTGCCTTCTGCATTTGTGCATGTCTGCTCGCGGTGCCACGCGGAAGTGCGGATTATTGCGCGTTGTAATTTCAAGAAAACATGACAAAGCTGCGAACAGCAGCTGCAGACCTGCAGTCAGAGTGCCCCTTCATTCTCATGGGTTCAGCAGCAGCTCTTGGCAAGCAAGCGCCCATGAGCCCCCATGTGGAGGGCCCCATTTGCGACACTCTACTTGGTTGTTTCTTTCGCTTCCTCTTGATCCTCTTGTTAGCCCGGATGACCCAAAAAAACATGGCTTCGGGTCTTAATTTCTCCATTTGAAAGGAACCGGATTTGGGATTCTTCAAATCTTCAAACCAAGGCAGTGTAAAATTCACGTGACAAAGGCGAGGGCACCCTCACACCTAGAAGCACTGCTTTTCGGAAAACTTGAGCCCTGTGAACAGGAGCTACACAGCCTGCTTTGAACCGCACCTGTAGCAGCAACAACACAACGACAGCAGGTAGGACTGCACCACCACCACCACCACCACCACCACCAGCACCACCACCACCACCACCACCACCAGCAGCACCAGCACCACCACCACCACCACCACCACCAGCAGCAACAGCAACAACAAAAACAACAGCAGCGACAACGACAACAACCACAATCACAACCAACACCAGCACCAACACCACCACCACCACCACCACCACAGTCCCAGCCACAGTCACAACGACAATGATGTCATGTGCAGATATGCAGGCCCCGTTCGCGACTTGTTCAGAATTCAGCAGGGGCCCTGAAACAAAAGAGGCTAGGGGACTCTGTCGAACGTGACACACCCAACTGTGAGCTCCAATTCTGAGGGTGGCACCCACCCACCAACACACAGCAATGGACCCGCCAGACCCGATCGCCCCAGCGGAGCTCCCAGTCCTTTGATGCATTTGTCTAAACTGCAACCTTTAACTTTCTAGCGCCGCCCACGACCAGCATTATCTAGAATCTAGCATGCACAGGCAACCTGTACGGCCTCAGCCTTGACACATGACTCAAAAGAAGGGTCTATATCTGAGCGCAAGCCACAGAAAAGCGCGGGTTGCGCCATGTGATGCGCTCACCGTCTTCTGACACCTGACACCAATCATTGCTCTTCTAGACTCCGACAGACTTCCAGATTCACGAGCTGGGCGACACGTGCTACCATGATCTCCCATGCAGAGTGCCCCGACTGACATGCCAAAGTGTGACCAGAAGGCATTCACAGAACTCCCGTCCTTCAAGCGCTTGAAGGCACTGCTCATGAACGAAAGATGGTGGAAATCTAATCTCAAGGGGGAGCTCGCTCTTGCAATAGGTGCTTGCACACCGTTGCGAGGTGTTGCCGTGGATGCTCTGACTCGAACTTTGATTAGCTTGTAGACTTGTCAATCAGCGAGGCAACCCGAGCTCTAACGAGGGGATTATTAGTCTCAGAGTACAACTGCGTGCATGTACGCGGCTGCGGGCTAGTCAAGCTTTGAGGTGCATTGAGCCAACGCTGGCCGTGCACGCAGAAGTTCACTGAAGCGCTCGACTGACACAGATGTTCCAGGTTCTCGGGCGCTCCAGCTGACCTCTGAGTGCCGATTGGAGCCTGACAGTGCACCGCTTATCACCTTTTGAGGGGCCTCCATACGCAACCCTTTGCAGCCGACCTGAGCGCCGCCAGCTCACGCTCTCGCCGCTCCAAGTCCTGATGAGCGTGCGGGCCGTAGTCTTCTGTCGTCTGTCTGGCGTGGATCACAGATCGGAGCACAGCACCGAACTCGACGGGAATCCTTTCAAAACCGACCCCACTTGCACGAGTACTTGGAATCGCTTCCGGGTCCATCAGCGCAACACGTTCACGCATGGCGGCTACCTTTGCAGTTTCGATTGAAGTGTGGAATTGCAGTCCAAGGCTTGCACGATCTGTTCCAAGTACTTGTTTCATAGAGCATCATGCAGCCACAGCCTGTCCTTTCCCGGCCTCTGCATCCCAGGCTTTGCGCCGAGCCTGCTTTGCTTCCAGCACCCAGCGTTCCTGACTTCACGCGTTCGAAGCATACATAAAGTTGCAAGGATGGAACACCGCCTGACGTTCGGCCCACACACGCTTCCGCTCCTGTCGGGACACTCATTCTGCCGGGGAGGCTTCGAGCGGATCTCTAACCTAAAGACAAGTCCGACAGTCAACTCTTGGAAGTGCCCTGTGGTGCCTGCTTCGCAGCTTCGCGCTCACGCAGGTGCTGCGCCCATCGAACCGCAAACTGCTTGCGTGTCCTGGCCTCGGGCTCGAATGGCTTGATTCCCCACCATCACAAGCAGTTCTTACAGCCACCATGGGCCACCATGCCCAAGATCTGCGAGGCATTGATGTCGCTATCACAAGAGTTACAGTTCCGAACCAAAGGAAGCCGTTCGCGACCCATCAGTTTGCTTTGCTACAAGACATACAAAGAAACACAGCGCACTCCTGCAGTCGATCACTTTCCATACTATTCCATACACGACCACAGCAGACGAAAAACTACAGCTCGTGCGCGTAAAACATGTGTTCAACATCTCTTTCCAAACCTGTATGACCCACTCACGATTCACCAGGGGCACGGCCTCTTTTTCTCTTTCTCCATTGCTCTCTTTCTCAATCTCTCGCTTGCTTGCACGCCGTTTGGGAAGTTGAGCGCAAGGCCCCCCCCCCCCTCCCTGTGCGCTGCGCTAGGCCAGCGTCCGTGTCCAGTTGATTTGTGAAAGTTTGAGCCCCACGTCGTCTCTTTGAGCAGCTTCGGTCCCTATGTGACTCCCCGACATGTACCATAATAGAACATGCGTATGGCGTATATGTCTCTCTCTCTCGCGGTCTCTCTCTCTCTCTCTCTCTCTCTCTCTCTCTCTCTCTTTGCTTTGCTTTGCTCCGGGGATGAGGAGTGGGCAGACCCCACCCCCCGCGCTCCAGGCGCACCCCCTCCAACATGTTGTTG